CTGTTAGTGTATTTTGATTCCTGACTTAGTTGCTTAAGAGAAATGAAATTGAGCGGAGGCACTAGGTGACGCCAGCCTGACTACACATCTCCTCCTCCTGCTCCAGTCCACTAATATCGGCACCCCGTGGCGAATCATTTTGATAAATAATAATCTTAAAGGTGCATTTTGTAACTTTTCCAGTGGAGTGTCTGTCAAATGCTTTACTTAATGGAGATGTTATTGCTTTGTCTGAAATGTTTCACAGTATGGCCATTAAACCTTTCTATCTTCCTGGAGACCAAACTGGACGAAGTTACAGGTCAAATGTATGGAGAGGCGATCCCGCTCAGAGTCAGAATGCTTGTTTTTCTGGGTATTGTTTTAGCTATAAAACCACTTGTAATTGAAATATTGAAAATAGAATATCATTGTTTGTAATTAAAACTATTACAAATTACCTCAAAAGAGATACAAATAGCTGTTTAATCTCATATTGTGGAACATTCCAGGCAGAGCAGTGACAGAAACTAGCAGGTGAAGAACCCCCAACCAAAAAGTTATATAGTGCACTGTGCATGTTTACCACTCTTATGTATTTATTTATTTGTATTGATTGATTTATTTGCTTGCTTGTTTGTTTTTGTTTGTTTTTTTAATGTGTATGTCAATAAAATAGTTCACCAGAACATGCCTGTCCTGGAAAAGAAGTAAGCTTGATGAGACTCAGCCTGGGAAAGAATCTCTATATTCTGCTCCAGTGCACTCTTAGCAGTTACCCAATATTTCCATGAGTCACTGCTGGAGAACTGTAGAAATGTGATTCATCTTGAAGTCAGAACATCTACAATCACATACAGTACAGTATATTAGAGAGGCCAATATTAGTGGGTATTGATGTTAAGTAAATCCCACAGTGGAGTCCATGTAATACAGGGAAGAAGCAGCATCCTGCCCCTCCTCTCTTTGGTAACATGGCCTTTGCTGTGCCCTGGGCACTCTCTCCTACACCCTAGTCCAGAGGTAGTCAGAGCTCTAATCACGTCCTCCCTGACATCAGCCTGGACTCGCCCCTCTCCTTCGCACTTCCCCACACCCCTGACCTTCACTTCTGTGGATACTAGACTACTGCTACATCCACTTGTACACTGCACTGCTACTGCTGCTGTTACTGCTGTTGTTGTTGTGCAATTATAGACACACTCTCAGCGCCCAGTGTTTTGTTGCTTTCTTTAATCCATGTGCAGACTCACTCTCGGCGGGGTCCTTGTTTATTCTTCTGCACATGCCCAACCATGACAAATCGGAAGCACGGACGCCTGTAGTGAGCCCAGTGCAGCATACGCACAGCACTGATGCTCCAGGATAACACTCGCTCCATGTAACACAGGGGCACAGCAGCATCTAGTGGTCAGTAGTGTGTATGCCCCTTTTGTCTATGCAATTACACCATGATAATAAGTCAGAACAAGATCCAAAGTTCTTGAAATAGTTTAAAATTTTAATGCTATATTATTTTCTCTCTTTTCCCAAGGCAAACTTGCTTTAAGTTGTTGAATCTTAGTGAGAGCTAACCACTAGTGGTTATATCGTAGTTGTATTTTAATCAAAGTAAATGAGTATTCATTGGATTTTAGATGCATGAATGACCAAGATACAATAAAGCATATTTTAACAATTGGCTTGCCAATGGCATATCAGTGGCATACAAGTGTTACTAGCTATTTTTCCCAATAACATTATTTTTAGGACATGGCAATTTAAGTTTCTTTATTTGAAATACATTCAACTTTTACAACGGAATTACATGCATCAGATGGTTATTCTTGATGTCTTTAAAGGTACAGGCAAACAAGCGTACCTTCTTGCTGTAAAGAGACTTTTAATCACTCAGTTGCCATACTGCTGTTATGTTTCTTCTCTCTATATGCTGTGAACGAGGCTCTAATCTTGATATGATTTTTATTTTTAATAAACTAAAACCCAAAACCTTAACTGTTACCGTACTTACCTGGCTTGTGTAGTTTTCAGCATATGAAGAAGTGAGGTACTGGCCAAACAATAAAATGCTTGTGTGCTCAGTATTACATTGTATATCACAATTACTGGACTCCTCTGGGGAATCACTTATCCTCTGTTACAGCTTATATCACTTTGTAAATGTGGGTATCTGAATGAGCTCTGCCTTATGTCTCTGAGCAGTTATGTCTGTTGGAATGTGCTGTTACTTTTTTCTTAGATCCTCTGTCATTATCTGTATTGCTAGATATCTCTGGGGCATATTTGGAAATTACAACCATAAATCTAACACAATAATATTAATACATTTCCCAACAGCCACTTTATGATGTACTTTGAATTAATGGTAGCTAATCTCAGTGGTGGGTGTCGCTAAGTTGCTGTTTGGACCGTTTCTCAGGTTGTAGATAATGAGGTGTGTTGTCATTGTGGTTAAGGTATAATTAGTATGGAATGATGAGATAATGAGAGCTGATATGTGCCAAGAATTTCACACAGCTCTAATAATTGGTTTAACAGATTGAATAAATAAGTACTGTGCTCTGACGTGTACATCCTTAGACAAAAAGACACAGAAAAACAGAAAATTTAGTTTTTAATAATGCACATGGACACATTTAAAAATGATGGCAACATGATAACACACACACACACACATATATATATATATATATAGTAGTCAGCTGAAAACTATCAACTGTGTTCCAAATGTGCTCCTATAACTGCTAGCCCTGTGAGCTTCATTTGACTGGAGCCGAGCTGAGCTGTGTGTGACATCACACTCTCTTTGTCCACTTCTTTTTACAGTCTATGATTATAAGAGGCAGTTGTAGCTTTTGGCAAATATAATAATTGAAAAGTAAACAGTAAGCAAATTCATTCAAGTCAGATTCCCATCTCCAAATTCCTGTAATATGGTATCATGTGTGTAGGTGTAGCTCCAAAGAAACATTGTAATAGAGCATAATTCATGGCATGAAAATAAACAATGCCCACTACTCAGAAGTTTGGTGTAGGTTGAGATGTCTGTGATAATGAACTCACATGGCCAGTGAATGAACCATGAGGAGCAAACAATAGGAAACTGTGAGTCCACTTTCACACATGTGTGCCCTATCTGAGCTGTGAGACCCACATCATCATTTTAGTTTAGTTTAGTTTATTCAGCCAACAAAATTGAAATGTGTTGTCTCACACAGATAAATTAAATCAAATATAGACTGAAAACATCATCATTTTGTAACAACACTTATTTTGTATTTAAATTTTTCACCTATGTATTTAATTTGCTTTTCATAAAATAAATAAACACAAAAAGTAATGTCCTCACCCACAACAGCCCTTACACACACACACACACACACACACACACACTCACACACACAAAAATAAATCCAAGTAATAATGCTAAATTAAAGAAAATAAATGAACACATTAATTAAGTTTTCAAAGTGCCATTGTGACCACTGCATAGTTTGTTTAGATTTTTAAAGGTTTTTGCTCTGTTGCTAAATTGGTGTAATTTTATTAGTCCAACTCTATTCCTAAATAATTTGTTAACAATAAGCAATAATTGTTGCTCTGTGAAATATTTTTTATTGGAAAAAGAACAACTGGTGATGTAGTTTTACCAGAATTCTGCACAAATTAATTTACTGTGACACATTTTCTAGCACCAAACATTCAAGCAATGTCACTGAGAACTCACACTCCCTTTGTATTACTCATTACAGCTGAATATCCAATGATTCTATGAGATGTTTCTAATGGCTGCAGCAAACCAGCCTTTAAAGTGTCAAGGACACTCCAGATGTGTCCTGTACAGACCCCTATAGCACCACTATCTACTATGAGCACACTCCTCTGGTTCTACTGCGAGAAGGTGCCGATTTAATTTGACAATCAATATGTTTGCTGTGAGCGTAAGCCACTGTAATCTTCTTTTTACAGTAACTTTCCTCTCCCTCCCTTCTCTCCTCTTCTCTCTCATCTTCTACCCTTAAGTCAGTCGTCCCAGCACAATAACTCCAGGATTCATAGGCAAAAACATGGAGTGAGACAGAGGGTGGATAAGAAATTGATACAAAAAACAAGTTGCATGCATTGCTCCCCTATCCAACAGTGCGTGGTCCTTTGCAGGGAAAATCGCTCCCATAACAGTGGATTAGAGAAAATGGGTTTGCCAGCGCTATTCACTGTGCACCCATAATGCAGTGGGGCAACTCATCTCGCACAACAAATGAAATTCAATTGGCTTGCTCCGGACACTTCAACCAAAATATGGCAAGGTCACAAAACAGAATTTGGAGGTAATTTTGTTGTGACTTGGATAATTTATGACGAATGAGCAGGAAGACTGGGCCACTCTCCTCTTTCGCTTACTTTATTATCCATTAGAGATGGGACAAGAATTGAGAGATTTTGGTTTTATTTTAATTATTTATTTTTAGGCCGGACAAAAAATGAAGTGCTGGTTAGTTATTTTTTGAGAAGCTGTGTTTAAAAATTGTTTTATGAAAGCAAAAATATTTGATAAAATAAATAAACAAATGTAAGGCTGTAGATTTTGTATACATTGTATTGCTGGGTTTCAGATGACTCCACAACATTCTATAGCATAATATTATTTAATACAAATGGGGGGCAGCTAGAATTAATAATGTTAAAATACAGCTTCAGTCAATAATATAAATGATCAGGTTCAATATTTGTGAATCTGTCTTTTGGATATTTCATGACAAAGTACAATGTTATCAATAGCATAAACTGTCTCTTCACCCCATCTGGGAGTATGGCATCATCACAATATAGAATCTGAGACCCAATCTCTGGCTTGTTCCTTCTTCCTTATCCTTATCAACCTGTTTAGTCACTATATGTCATCCTACACCACTAATCCAGTACTAATACACCTATAATAGATCCCAACAATATCAGATGTAACTGTGCAAGTATTTAATCACAATTTTTCATGTACACTCTTTCTGTTAATTGCGTTTCAGAGACAATAACTACATCAAGGACTTCCCCCAGCTCGCAGATGGTCTCATGGTCATCCCTCTGCCAGTGGAGGAGCAGTGTCGAGGGGTGCTGTCCGAGCCCCTGCCCAACCTGCAGCTGCTCACAGGTGGGTGAGGGGAGTGAACCAGCAACTGTGTCCTCAACAACTCATTTATTTTCAATTTCCTGGTGACCTTTTTACACCATGAGCCTTGAAATATTATTATTACGTTTGGAATAGATGTGGGAGATCTATCAAAAAAGTATAATATTGTGGGCACTATTTTGAGACACGAAAAAGAGAATATCATTGTTTATAATTAAAACTATACAAATTACCTCAAAAGAGACACAAATATCTAGTGTAATTTCCCAAACAAAAGTGATATTTCTGCCTTGTTGTGGTTGATTTCATTCTTCATTCACATTTTGAGCCTCCAAATGCATTGTTAAAATACCCAGATAGACCTAGATTTTTGTCTAGCATTAGAGTAGTATTACATTCATACTTGTTTCTTTTATATGTTGCACTGCTGTAAACAGACTAATTTTGTTGGCAAGAGCTTTACTATTTTGTACCCCTGAAATAGATCTTATACAAAAATAACTTAAATGCAGTTGCCATGGTACAAACACAGACAGTATTGTTAGGTCAAAACTATATGACTTCTATAACTTGTACAAGAACAAGCTTCTCCTTCAATCCTTTTATCCTATACTATTTGTGGTGTCCCTTGGGGGCAGAGACACTTCGGGCTTAAAAAGACACCTCCACCTTTGCTCCCTAATCCTTCCATTAGCTAAATTGGTATTTGGTTCACACTGACCCTTGAGATTTTTACATAAATTGGTTCTGTCACTGATATTGTAGAGGTGTTTCTTAGTAGAAAGCATTTTTCAAAGGCACATATTCAAGCTTTTGCTGCAGATTGTTGCATCTTCTCCATTAAACTTCTGAACTGGGGTAAAAGTTGGATAATTGTAGTGCACATGGACTAATCCCAATGCCAACAATCCAGTCAGAGTTCAAGTGGGATATTTTGTACTGCTTCTTTCTATATAAAGCAGCTGCAATGTGGAAGAGCCACAAACTGAAAAAGTTTCTCTATATATTGTTTAAGATAAAAGAGGCATAAGATAGGAGTTTACATTAGAAGTCTCACAAAATAATAGGCCTAAGTCTATTTTGTCTTTCAAAAGGCATTGTCTGATATATATTCTTTTAATTTTCTTCTCTTTGAAGGGGATGCTCAGTTCAGTGAGGCAGCAGGTTATCCGATGGTACAGCATTGGAGAGTACGGAGCAACCTCTACAAAGTCAAACTCAGCTCCATCACCCTATCTTCAGGTATAATATTTATAATTATTCTTGGGACAATGTAGATTTTTAGAACATTTATGATGTTTATTCCTCTGATATAAGTGGGCACACACAAACAAACAATTCAGCAGCAAAAAATGGCTTTGGACATCTTTTCAATTTCTCAAGTGCTGTTGAAATTAGCAGCTACTGGTTACAACATTGGTAGTAATCCACACACGCACAGAGATGTCTAAAAATGAGAAAGTACACATCTGATAATCCCACCTCTGAGTTTAATTTTAAGGATGTTATTGACTGAGGTGATGTGCAGTGCCATTTGATCTCAACACAACAATTTTAATTTTGTTTGGTCATACTTTTTTTTTTCTGTATTTCAGTAAACTTAACACAAACAACATGCTTTTTCATCAGTGCTATAATTGTCTGCAGTGAGTATGCATTAAGACTTCTGAAGCTCCCCACAAGTGATCGTGTGCTCTTGGATAGCTCTGTTTGTTTTTATTTTTTCAGTTGATCATGGTCAAAAGTATGATATTTTGAAATCCTTCTGTTACTAAGAGTCCTATACCATTTGTATCCGCTGTAATAAGAAAAATGTCTGCATGACATAAAGTCATGCCTACTCCATTATAAGATACAATTACTACTGAATAACAATATCATGATTACAGTCAATAAACAAATGTGGTGGTAAGCTTATTGGCTTTTATCTGCAATATTTATGTGTTCAAGGTTTTTGTTTCATCGAATGCTCAGAGATGTTTGTTTTTTTTAATATGGCTAGCTGTATAACCAGAGTTTTATTCGGACAGGTTTTTCTAAGATACTGAAGACGCTATCAGCAGATAGTACACGAGAGGAACTCCTGGCCTTCCTCCAAAAATTTGGCACCCACTATGTGTCTGAAGCTTTGTATGGCTCGGAGCTCAGCTGCAGCATCCACTTTCCCAGCAAGAAGGCCCAGCAGCAGCTCTGGCTGCAGTACCAGAAAGGTGAGCACTGTGTACAGCCCTGTATGGACTGTCATGTGTCATGCAACCTTTTCAGCACACCAGAAGGGGGCAGTGTCAATGGGAGAGAAACTAATGGTAAATGTTCATCTTTATATAGTGTTTTTCATAAAAGAACCATTCACACACACATTGATATACCTATCAATACATCTATTAGTTTTAAGACATTTAAGGAATAAAGTGCTTTTATTTTCTAATGGATTTATTGCACTCATATTATCTGACAATGACACGTAAAATTGTGACAAGTTAAAACCCACAGACATATCAGACATAACATCTGAATGACAAAGTTTGGTTTAGAGATGTATTGCATCATTACATTTGAACAGTTTAGAAAGATGTCTGGAAGTAATCCAGGTCATGAAATGTGAATAGATGTTCATGTATCAGTGTTAAACACCCAGACAAAAGGACACTTCATTATGTGTAGCATTGTATGCATCAGCTCTCTAGAGTAGTGCAGTAGTGGGGAACTTCTTTTTACAGTTCTCAAATAACAATAACAAAGAAAAGGCTTAAGATAGAAAATAAAGGTTAAGGTCATTAGTGAAAACATTTTACAAAAAAAAAGCCTGTTATTGGTTAAGTCTATTAAGTTATTTTGTTCCATTAATACAATATCACTATGATTGTAGCAACACCCTTACCCCAGGAGGTTTATAATTTAGTAGGGAACAAATATCCAACAAGAGCTAAAATAAATTAATAGTGTTGATCAATGCCAACAGCTAGCAAAAAACCCATATTGTGGAGTCAATTGAAACCTGAGGGATCCTTTGCTGAGCCTAAAGTTACAAGTAGCAAATCAAGTTTGGCATGTCAGTGTCAGACACACATCCTCACAAGACTAACATATCTTCAACATTAACACAACTGTTGCTACTCAAAAAAGTGAACACTTCATGTTTTGTGTGAAAGCCAAATGTCTGCAAATTATGCAATTATTTCAAAAACAAACATTAACTTCAGCCAGGAACAATATTTGTTTTTTTTTTAATCTGGCATAATTTAAGTGGGTTTGGTTTTTTTTTTCTAAAATTCTATTCTTTGCATGTGTACTCAACAATAAATGTTAACATGGCTACAATATGCATGAGCCTACAGGATTATTCCAGGTAAAGTTCCCTGAATGCTGTAAAATCACATACGGTACATTTTGTTATTTACTGATCTGTTATTGAAGCACTTCTCAGTGAGGGTAGAAGCTCTCAGACACCTTTAGCAATGAGTGTGCTTCTGACCCTTAAGTGATTTGTCAGCAATAAAGTGCATCACAGGCCATAATCCTTGGTATACATTTTGTTAAGTAAACAAATACATTTTTGTTTGCCACAATCTGCTGTGTATTTTAAACTGAGCCAATCTAATTCACCGTGCATTACACACATACATCTGATACTAGGCATAACCAGTCAGGAATGACAGAGAATCACATGATGTCTTCCTTAGCTTTAACCTGAACAGCTCTTTAAATGTGGTGTATTAAGTTGTAGCTCTTTTTGCTGTAAAAACACACACTAACAAAAATACAATTGAAAGCCAGAAGGAGAACAATGAAAACTATGGCCAATACACTTTAAATGCAACTGTTAAACCCTGTCACAGTAACCATTAGAACTCTATGAAGTGGAGGAGTGCCTTCTCTGAATGTATGTGTATACTTTGACACAGTGATCCCAACAGTCCAGAACAAGCAACTGTCCTTTCTGAGTAGTTGCCACTCCAACAGGACAGGTTAGTCCATCCTGGATGAGAATTTTGTAGCCACCTTCTTTGGGAAATTGAAGGATTTCTTTTCGACCACTATCTGTTACCAACAAATCACCATTGTTATCCACACACATTCCAGTGATGCAGCGGAAGTCCTCAGTCTCTGAAAAAAAGTGACTGAGCTGCTTGCCAAGCTGACCGTCCGTACCCACTGACCCGATGGAGAAACCGCCTTCCAGGTGAGGCTCATTGTGGCGTTTCTCAAAATTAAGAGCCAAGCCCTGGGTGAAGTAAACTGTTCCACTTGGATCACATGTCACAAACTTTGGGCGTACAGCAGAGCACAAACGAGTGTAGCTGACTATACCGATATTGCGGTCCACTGCCAAGCACCACAGCTTGCCACCTTCCACATCTGACACCACAAACTGTCCCGTTGGCATGGCAGCAATGCCCCAGGGTTTGATCAGCTGGTTCTTGTGGCAAGCCACACATTGTCCATCCATTGTATAGACTTTCACAGAGTTGTCATAGTTATCAGTGACCCCAATGAGTCCTTGGGGTGTAACAGCAATGGATAATGGAATGAGATTAGGAAGGTCCGCACCTAAAAAGCTCAAAACAAAATTGTCAATACTACTGGCATTGCGCCGGATTTCCCGCTGAAATCCTTTGCGGTTAAAAATCTGAATGCGGCAGTTACCACGGTCAGCCACCAAGACTTCTCCTTGCAGTGTTACACAAATGCTCACAGGCAAGTTAAACAGGCCAGGCAGTGTTCCCTTGCAGCCCATCCTCTTAACAAACTGGCAGGCTGGTAGTTCACTGTTGGCCCCTCCAGGTGGTTCTGCTGCGTCCAAAGACTTTGACTTAAAATGCGCAGGTGAGCCACAGATAGCCTCATCTACACTTGCAGACATATCCACATCTCTGTATAAATCTACTGACGGCCCCATTGCTCCCTCAACACCACTTTCTAAAGCCGTGTCTAAAGTGCTTTCTTCAACTTCTGTACTAACAGTGTAAGCTTTTGCCGTTAACTTTCCTACTTCTAAAGCTTTTGACTGCTCTATTAGAACTAACTCCGGCTCTTGTAAATTCAGTGTAGTAGGCAAAGTACTTTTAATATCCAGTTCTTCATCATCATCACAGTTGCCACCATCTTCCTTTAGCAAAGCAGTATCACTCTGCCTCACCCGCATTGTCAGATAGTCACAACGTGACACTACTTTAACCTCTGCAATATTAAGTAAATAGGTCTGTTCCTCAAGGACTTGCCCATTGGTCTTTTCCAGTTCTGACATGGTGGCTGTGAAGGTTCTTCGAGATCTACTGAGTTCCTCTTGAAGGCGTAGCTCAGCTGTAGCATAGTCTTGCTGAACTGCTCGGTATTTACACCTCAGTGTTTTAGAAATATTTTCAATGACAGTTTTCTTCTTTTGGATTTCACCCATTACATCTCGCAGAGATTCAAGTTTGGAACCAAGTTCTTTGCGTCGCTGCTCAGCAGCTAATCTGATGGGTTGGACATTATGGCCTTGAAGCATGTGACCCTCTGCTTTACACAGCTCACAGAGGACAACTGCACACTCATGACAGTACTGTCGTGGTAGACGAGTGCAGCAAGACTTGCACATCAGAGCGGCAGCAGCAGCACTACATGAGGTAGTGCAATCCAAAATTTTCAGTACTGTGAGATTGTCAGCCAACTGGGAATGCTACTCATTCTGGACACCTTACTGCAAAATGGACAGCGAACACCATTTATGGTATTTGCTAGTAGTTTTTCTAGACATTGCCGACACACTGTATGTCCACACTGTAGGAGTTTGGGTCTCATTTGGTCCTGGTTATACGTTTCCAGGCAGATGGGGCATTCAAGAACCTCCCGCATTAAATCCGGGTCCAGTTGGGGGCATTCCACAGCCATTGTGAACCTATCTTGGAACAGAGAGAAAGTATTATGATATGTATAAATTGTAGTAACATAACACACGTGGAAGCATTTTGGGTTATTGTAAGTATTTATGCTAAAGGAGTGTTTTTTTATTTTATTTTTTTATTTACTATATGTCAGAGATGATGCACATGATGATACTGAGCATGAATGAGATACGTGAAACCGTTGGCTTGCATGCATTTTGGCACACTCTGGCCTTTACGACGTGTAAACAAAATATGTTGTGATTACGGCTAGCTACAGCAGTTTAGGACACACAATAGATGATGCCGCAAAAATAGGCGTTAAGTTAAGAGCAATGTATACGCGTGGCATTTTATTAGCAATACCGTATCAAGTAAGGGTGTATTTAACTAGCGTGAAGAGCAAAGAAAAACAGACATTAGCACTGTTGTTGCAGTAGTTAGCCGTTTGCCCAGGTAGCCAGCTGCTACATGTTAGCTGCTAACGTTAGAGCTCGTGTAGGTTCATCCATTGCACTAACAAGGAAATAGAATCTAAAGCAAATGACCATCTTACACCTTGCACAACTGTTCATGTTTTACTGAGGTCCATATAAATACCGTATGTATACATCCACTCGTACACAATAAAAACTATTACAAAAGTGCGCACATCAAGCATTCCGTTTAGTTTCATGTTTATTATTTGTCAATCGACGGTAAAACTTTACCTTTCCTGAAATCAGCTGGATCAACGAAACAGCCTTGATGGGCGTGCTGTGTTTCACTGCAGCTGCTTAGAGAAGCTGCTTGTGTGAGAGAGCGCACCGCAGTACTGCTACGCACGGTACGCACGGTACGCACTGCCGGGTTGTGCTTACGCATTATACGCATGACTCTGCGATGTTGACCGAGACCCGTTTGGACGTTTTATGTTTGGCTTTATGGTGTGTATACATCCGTAATAGTTTGAACATAACCATGTTCAAACAATAATATACTAATAATATAATCATGATATGTCTTTGAGATTGTATTCCTCACGTCGTTACAATCCTAAATTTTTTATTAAAAGCATATGGATAACATTCATGACAACAATTACTAAGAAATATGTTTTATATCTTCTGTATGTGTATATATATATATATATATATATATATATATATATATATATATATATATATATATATATATATATATATATATATATATATATATATATATATATATATATATAAAACACACACCTACACACATTTCCCGATAGATAAATAAGATAAGTCATGCAATGGTAAATTTTCACCACTAGATGTCAGGAGTGGTCTATAAGTACGAGAATCAGGTATGCTACATACTGGATTATTTCTTTCTTATTATTTATTCATAAAATATTCCACTTAGACATTTTTATTATCATTTGAAGAATATTGTGCTAGCAATAAACCTGGCAATCTCTAGTTTGATTCTGTTAAGTGTCACATTTGTGTTGAGCAGCAAAGAGCTGATCTTTTGGTGTCTGTTGTTTTGCTTCATAAAGTCTCCTAGGCCACCCTTGAGTCTATTTACACAATTCTACGTATAGAATTACTGTGTGAAGCTCTTTCACTAGCTTTTCGACTGCCTGAAAAGCAACCACAAAGGCATAATTGCACATAAATCTATGCAAATATGTATACAAACACTTTTATCACATAGTTATGCCTAACACACAGCAGGCTATGATATATAGTGTTATTTAACCTGCACATGCGCTCTCTACTTGTGGTTTTGCAGAGCATGTGCACTTATCTCATACACTTGTAATGTAGGTGGGAGTATGTTATTGTAGCCTAAACATCATTAGTATGGCAATCCATCACTTCTCATGTCTGTTGGTTAGGATGTTTTCTTTCCAACAAAAAACCCATCAGTCTGTGTGGCTATAGGTTACTTTGGTACTCTGAGAACTTACTCTATGACTTCTTTTTGACTATCTATCTATCTAATCTAACTACAAATTTATTTTAAATTATTATATGTATTGCTCAGATTTTTTATTTTTATTTTTTTTAAAAGCTTGTGCTTTTACTGCGCACAGGCTTGCACCTCCACAAACCTGACTCTTATTTGGCCTGGAGAATGACCTCCTCTTGCTGGTCTCCATGGAAATGTACACTTTCACCCAATGTACCCAATTTACACTGAAAGATGATTGTTACGCTGAATTACCGTTGTTGTTTTTTTTTGTTTTTTTTTCTCGAAAATGCATGCCTCTCACACTGTGACATAAAACAAATCTCCACAAACAGTAGGACATTTACCTAACCCTTTTAATCAATGTTGTAGCCATTTTTTTTACATAAGAGGTTGGCGATAACAAGTTTCTAGCATAACTGATTGAAGTTACACCTTAATATTCACTTTTCTGTCTTTAAAGAAGACATCCCAAAAGGGTTGGTATCTATTTCAACTATATGAACACAGAAAAACATTAAATGATGAAAAGTTGTTTTACATTTGTCTTACATTTATTTAAGTAAGCAAATATAAAATTAATAATAATAATGATTTAAAACAAAAACAAAAAACATAGACTGAAATTGTAGTGCGACTAAAACGAAAGTAACTTTTCAACTTAGTAGAAAATAACTTCAACCCATGCAGTGCCAGATACACAAAACACTGGTTACCAACACTTGGCAAGCCTCACACACAACCCTGGCTTCCACCCACCATATCATCCCATTCATTTATTGTCTATAAAACAAATAGCAGCCAGGGATTTGACATTAAGGAAAAGTGAATCCAGATGCTGACACTTATGCAATTCATGGGCTGTGGATATTTTTTACTACTGTAACTGAGTGCCATAAATTGCTTTATGGGGTCAGTAATTGTAGCATGTTACTTTATCCAAAATACAGCTGAAGGCAAATGTTATGCAAGTATAACAGCATTGAATTCAAAGTTCAACACATTGTCTAAGATATTTGGGTCGTTCTGCTTCCAGAGGCTACAGAACAGGGTGCTGCAGGCAGAGGACGAAGGGAGCTGAAGTCACTGCCCTTCATCAGCTACCTGTCAGCCATGCAGAAGAGCCAGCTGCTCTCAGACGACATAGTAAACGGTGTGGAGATCAGCTGTGAAGAGAAGGGCAGCTGTCCTCCTGGCTGCCACCTGTGTCACCACCAGGGCATGTTGGGAGCTGTGTCCACCAGAGGGCACAGTGGGAAAGGGAGGAATGGAGAACAGTCCTCTCCCTCCCCTGTGCTGCTGGACGTAACTCGCGTGGTGCCCCTGTACAGCCTGGTGCAAGACAACATCACCAAAGAGGTGAGGACATGAGTGAGGGATTATTATGCTTTTTCTGCTTTTAAATTAAGACATCAATCCAAAAATTCAACACTACAACTTTATTTTTGTAAATCAGTTATTATTATATTATTTTGTTATATAAATGTTTGTCACATTAGTGAGTTGCACAGTTGATCACTTTTAATTGCCATTAAACTATTAATTATATGTATGGACATAGTTATCTAAATATACTGAACATAGCAGATAGAAGAATGGAATATTGTAGTAATGCGTGATACATGCCACATATTAATAAAGTCCATGCAGTAATGTTGGCTAATATTCATGATTATTATCAGATTGTGTGATATTGTATAGCTCTTTTTTTTTTTTTTTATCATCATCAGGGATGTTGTAATGCATGGTACAGTTCTACTCAGTCACCCCTAGGTGGCATTAGTAGGTTAACTTTCTCCTCTGTAATGAGCACTGTACAGGGGGCATAAAAAAGATGACATCATAGTTTTCTCTCCTTGTGAAGAAGTTGGTGTGCAAGGTATATACAGTACACATGTGTGTTGCATGTTCGATTTTTGCACAAAAGACTGCGTGTGCACAAAAAGTTAATCCTATCAAATTGCTTATGTAAGGAGATGGCTTTTTGCTTAACTTAACATTTACTATACCCCAATTTACATATATGTTGGCTTCATTTCAACATTGTCTCACTTCCTTACATATGATGCATGCATCTTTTGTCTGCGTGTGCAAGCAATTACTGAACTGTTTGCAGGTGACGCACCCGCCATAGGGAGCAGACCGGTACACGCTTCCCCCAATCAAGCATCTAATTACTGTGCCTTCTAAAAATTACTAGAGGCAACAACAATAGGACATAAATATGCATGCATTCACAAACGCACACATTACAAAGCCCTTCTGTATACGTGCCACCCATAACAAGCATCACAGCCCCAAAGAAAAAGAAGCGTAATCAATAGCAGACGGTCTCTAGCGGGCTTCATCAATAGCTAAACGTGAGGAAGAGCAAAACGTCTTTTATTTTCTCCCTTCTTTCCACTGCGCACCTCCTCACTCATCCTTTTACAAAATCAGTGGTCTTATGGGGGGATGTATGTGGAGGAGGAGAGGGCCCAGACTGCAGAGGATAGCTTTGGCCAGCCCTTCTAAGGTAGCTCCAGGCAGGATTATTAGCTTCTTATTGATGTCATCGACCTCTTGGGAGGGAGGGGAGTCCATCACTCTCGTCCCTGTTCTCTCTCTCTTTCTGTCTTTCTCTCTCTTTCCTCATCCCTCTCTCTCTCTCCCCCTCTCTTATTCTCTCCCTCTCCTTCTCATCTTGTCTTGGTTAGAAATGTTGGTGCTGTGTGTCTGAATGCGACATACGTTGATTACATTAGAGACACAGAGCGATTGATTCTATAGACTTTATGCGTGTTTCCCTTACACATCCTTGTTTTTTTCCCAGAGATTTTTCTGCTTGGCTGGACCTATATTGAGAAAGACAGCTGCCATGTTGCAAAAGCTTTCTGGGAGATGAGTTTTTCTTTTTTCCTCCCAAAACCCCTCAAAGCAATCAAATAGAGCTTCAGGTGTCTGTTTTTTGAAAGGGTTGTCTCAGGTTAGGCCTATATGTGTGTTACTGTTTGTATGGTGTGTGCTACACAGAACTGTCATTCTCCTTACCCCCTCATCTGTCACTGGCTTCTTCCTGGCTGCTGGACACTTTGACAGAATGTCTTATACGATCAATCATTATTTGAACCAAAACACAATCTGAAAATACCCATATTCAAATGAGGAGTAAACAAAATAATACATTAACAGTTCAGCCAGCAACTGGGAATGTGACACAGAGTAAGTGAACGAGATTTTTGAAGAAAGTGCTCTATAAATGTATTGTACAAACTAATTATATTGTATAGTATCCTATATCAGATGCAATCCTTATTGTGTATAAATAAAACATTTGTAATGTGTGTGATTTACTTGTGTTGCTCAGGTAGGATCTGTAGCAAAATTATTTATGTGAAACTCATTTTAAACTTTTGTCTAGTTAACAGTGTTCTATATTGGCTTGCGACCATGGCACCTTTTACATGATAAAAGATTATTGTTGCTTTACTTATTCTCTCCAGATTGTCTGTTCAGGATGCACCCTATCTATGGCCCATAAACATCCCCAGCGCCCATTGTAGTAATATGTGAAGAAAGATAATTTGGTACTTTATATCATGCCAAATAGACTTTTCCACTGTATGCTGGCAACATGAGTGACTAATCATTTTGAGCCTTACTTATATAGTTTTGTAGTTTGTCAAATTGAGAACAGTGTGTGAGGTTGTGAGCTAATGTGTAAGGTATTTGCATGTACTGTATAAGGCAGAGTATATGACGTCATCTATTTGAAAGCGGCAGTTTGAGGTTTATGCCCCCATTGTCTTGATATTTAATTCCCTAGACTTGGCATGCCTTCCTTTTGGTTTTCGCATGAATTTGACTGGAACTACTCTTGGAACGTTCCTTGCCTTAACAGAGGTGGTCTTGCTTGCAGGCCTGGCTTGTGCATACCCATACACATGCATTAGAATAAAGGACTGTTTTAGTGCCAGAGAAAAATACTTCAGTTGGTGAATAAATAAGCTTACGTCTGTGCAGTTGCCAGTAGTTTGTCCGGTGACTGAATTATGGCAAACCTTTTGAACAAATTGGTTGTGAGTGTAATGGGTCAGAATGCTCTATATCTTGCAAGTGGCTGCTGTCATGCTCCGACTTTCAGAAGAAGCAAGGACTGCAATCTCAAGCTTAGTATTGTACATTACCCATCTGAAATGATGGGATATTTATAGATCTATCTAGATTTGCTTGTAGCTTAACACAAAATGCATTGCAAATGTATTTTGTGTGGGTTTATATTGTTTGATTTAATAATCCAGTTGCAAATTTATATTTTGTGTTGCTTCAAAAAAATACCCTTGCTTTGTGCTTTGTTGCACAAGCAAGGAAATGTGCTAAACCATGCACTAAAATGTTTAAAATAATAAAAGTTTCAGTACCAAGGAGAGCTCTCTCTATTTAAGTGTCATCAATCAATCTTTGTACTTAAAAAGTCGATTCAAGGCAGTGTTGTTTCACCTTGATAATTTGCTTCTGTAGAAGTAATTTTCTAAAAACTTAAAGGTCAGATCACATTACTTTTGACAATCTCCAGATCATAAAGGTCTTCCTAAAAAACAATACCGCCCTTTTGGCTATTCTCTGGGTCCAATTTCCTGGAAGTACCTCTTCTGATAAGGTTCTGAGAATCCGTTCTTTCTTAACACATTTAGCACTGAATGATTGTGAAGCCCACAGAAAAACACACACAAACTCTCTATTGGGTCACAACTGATGGTGTCCTGTGTGCACTGACTTCAACTCTTTACCACTGGTGATCGTTGTTTAAATCAATAGTGTGGGCCAGCTGGCTAGTGTTTTCGTGTGTTAGCTGTGGAAAGCAGACAGTAATATGGTCAGTTTAGACTAGACAAACAGATTAATACATTAAAAAGGTCACAATAGCCTCAATCTCCTTCTTGTAAGTCACGATGTTGGAATTAAAGGTCCAAATAGTATTTTGGTGCCAGGGAGTCTGCATGGCCAGAATGACGTCAAGACAAGGAATTTGTGGCCACAGTTGTTGTGTTGCTTATGCTCGGTGACCTGGCAGAGCCCTGATCTTGCATTCAAAGTGGGGGGTAGGAGGTGATTACATTTCAGCTCAATTTGCTCAGTATCAATAAGGTCAATAGAGATGAATAGTGGCATATTTAAGAAACAGTAGTGCTGTATGTTATCTAAGACATAGGGCCATCACTGGTTCCTGCAAGACAGTCTGTCATCAACATACACAGAAAAATAAAACTCCTAGACCGGAACAGTTGATTGAAATGTAGGACACTCCTTGTCAAAACACTTGCTTTTCTTAAATGAAGCTAATGGGAAAGGTTTGTCGATTAACCCTATCTGGGCAAACCACAACGTATCAGGATCTATCTGTGTTCTGGGAAATGCTGATCTGTGGTTAATCAATACAGTGTAAGGTATCCTCTATTGCTTGGCTGTGAATGATCCTCATTGCACACATAGCAGGCTCTCCTGGGCTTTTATAGTGTTCCTGATACTTAAGGGTTGCTTTACCGCCTGAGTCTCCATGGGAAGGATTGCTGTCTTTACGACCACACACTTAACTGGCATTAGTCAACTCTCACTTGCTTTACTTAAACCCCTCATCAGTGCGTTACCTCTTTTGCACCCCACCAGTGCTCCTACCTCATTTCCAAACCACAATTAGATTCCCTGTTTACCCAGTGCATACTGGCTTGTTTTACTCTTCAAACATAAACATGGCAGTAATCGCTTTGTCTATTTTTCACATGTGCAGCCATGCAATCAAGCGTGCAGACCCATATGAGTGTTTCAAGGAATCTGGTGGTGGTGAATGCATGATGGTTCTGTGGTCTCTCTCTTTTACCCCCAGCATCTCATATTTGACTGTTTGTAGCGTGCCTGGACCCAAGTCCAGCTTTTCTTTGTTACTGCAGTCTGTGGCCTGTCATGAGGTGGCAACCCCCTGCTGCTGTTGTATGCTGGAATCAGTGGTTTAGAAAAAGGAGACAAATGTTATTGTTTTGCAATAGATTATAATAACAACAGGCTTGTATAAACAGGATTGGATTCAGAGCACTATACTTGGGCAAGGCTTCAAGTAACCATTTCAGTACCTGTTCCTGATATGCATGTATAGTGCACAAGTTGTTTTACTGTATGGACTTTTCTTTTTCCAGTAAAAAAAAAGTTAGTAATAAGGTGTTGTTTAAATACTAACTTCAGCTCCAGAATGCATACCTCCATTCTTTTCTATTTAATTAGGCAGACTTTATGGTCAAGAGTATGCTCAAAGTCATCTCGAATGTCACCACAACTAATCAACGCACTGCAGAAATCTGCCTTTGGCTTTGGTCCAGTGGAATGAAACAAGCGCGTGTGGAAGTAGATCCTTAACAGAAATGTTGCAAGTGCCCATGTGTGCACCCACTGCTGCCTTAAAGATGTCTGGGGTCTCTTTACTTCAGGATGAAGAGAATGTCACGGTGTATTAGAACAAAGGAGTGGATGGGTGCTTCTTGCTGGATGCCTGGTGCCCACTGATAATGTTTCCACTTGACTTCAGCATCCTTTTTTTGTGACCATGATCAAGCACATCTCAAAGTTGTCTGCATGAGGCAGCACGGCCAACCAGTTAGAGCACATAAATAAGAGAGAACTCCATTGATCGGTAGTGTGACAGAGGGAGCCAGAGTGCTTGTGAACTCCCTTGAACTCCCTCTCTATCATGCCTGTGGCTTTAGGGAAAGCCCTGACGTTATACTTTATTGCTTTGACAATTATATTGGCATTTTTCTGCCTTTTAGAGGATGACTTAGCTTCTGTCTTTGATTTTTCTTTCACCCATTAATGAAGGGGCACACAGGAGATGTAGGAGATGATGTCATCTCCTTACATCTTGCCACCAGCCGCCGCCTCCCTCCCCGAGCATACACGGACCAATAGTGAGACAGTCACAGACACACACTCACCAGCTCCTTGAATTGAACAGGAACAGAAGAGGTGAGGAGTGTCACAGCGTTCGCACTTCCATCGTAAAAGTCGCAGTGCATCTATGATATCACAGTGCAAGCCTGTCAGGGACTGCCTTCTGGTAATTGGGAATGGTGGGTTTAAAAAGGTCACTATGTCTGCACACTAGGTGCATTGAAGTTTTACTTCTAGTTGTAAGAAGAATTCAAGGATAATATTTACTGTATCATTGCTGAACAGAACGAGCAAATTAGCTCAGTTTATGTTTGATTTATTATTTCATTAAGAAAATAACAAAAGAGTAGCTGAATTGAGACGAACAGAGATGAGATAACTCCAGTTTGAGATGGTATGGTGAAATAGTCTGGCATCACATGTACCCAAAAGATAATTGCATTTGTTCTCACCTGTTCCCCTTTGCAGGCCTTCAAGAGTGCCACAATGAGCTCATACTGGTGTGCTGGAAAGGGCGATGTCATTGATAACTGGTGTCGCTGTGACCTGAGTGCCTTCAGCAAAGATGGCTTGCCTAACTGCAGTCCCCTCAGGCAGCCCATGTAAGTGTGAGATGACAACATGACACCTAGGAATTCATGCACAAGAGAGATTTCATGGATGCATGCTCTGATGCACCATAGGCTCACATGCACACATTTACACACTAACAAACACACACGCACGCACACACACCCACACACATGCACACACACACGCACACGCACTCTCACTTGAGAAAGTTGTAGACACTAGCACAGTCCCCAAAGTTCTAATAGCTGTCAGTCGGCCCTTACACCCATCTGAAAAGAACACGCTCTTATTCAAGGTGTCCTAATAATACTCTGGGGTCTGTGACTCACCCACTAGCTCTACTATTACACACTGAAAACTTTTAAAGAGGAACACTGAGTCTATGGGGATTTCACACAGGACACTTCTACAATGGGAAATACAATTTCTTTGAAGAAGAGGTCCTGCTGTTGTTCAAATTGTTTGTACTTCATTTTTATCTTGTTGACTACTTCAAATTTGAAAATATATTATACCTCTGTAAAACTTAATCTGTCACCAATCACCATATACATTTAAAAAAATAAAATGTGTTGTTTTTTAATTCACTATTCTTATAGTCAAAATGTCATGAAAACATGCTGGCTTGTTCTGTGCTTTTGCCCAGACAATTAAGTACCTGCACTTTATGAAAAAAAAAAAGTATATATAAGAACATAAAAAGAATCTGCCACATCTAATATATTGGCTTGTTTTTTTTATATATCTTTTGAATTTATGTCAAAAATAATTTTAGTTGATAATTAAGTATGAAATACAGTGGTTTTCTCCCCTACTTTTTATAAGGATGCTGTGGACCCACAATGAATGCACATGTCAGGGTATGTTTCTGTCAGCCCTAATTGGCCAACATTCAGTGTGTACCCCCTTAACACACATAGTTGAAGAAATAGGCTCCATCTACCCTGATCACTGAACTATGCGTGATCAAATGTGAAATAACTGCCCATTAAATAGACTTAGCGACAAGTTCAGGAGCTGCCCTTCTCTTTGGTGTCCGGGTAATCCCTCCGCCCTGGTGCATGAGGAGAGTCTGTGCAGCCGCCATCTGGAGCACTCTGCTCTGGCCAGAACTGCAGTGTAAAGCCAGTAATAACCTGCAGATCTCCTGTTATTTGTCGGAAAGGATAAAACGGAGTGGCGTGTTTTCATGAAAGGACAACCTGTCTTTCTCATGCCATTGTCATAAATAAAGCCTAAGGGCTGGCAAATGGAAATCTATTTTTCTTTTATCTCTTTGAAGGGGTATAGTCCACTAGAGACACTGCTGGAGCCCAGGCCGGATTGGAATGTTGTTTTGCTTGTGTTGTCCCATGAGGTAGTATAGGTGGAGATGGGAGCTTTTTATGACTCTGGCTGGACAATGATCACATGGGATTGTTCAAGATTGCTATGCATGCATTTTAGTCCCACATCACACACTTTAATTTTAATTTCATCATGTGGGAGACAGATGGGTGTTATTGTTCAAAATCATCCAATACTATTCACTAAACTTTGTTGTGTCATTAGTTTGCATCTAGCACCCTATCTGGAACCCTCAAGCACAATGGTGGCCCTGGAATGGACGGATATAGAGCCTGTGATTGGCTACAAGATCTCGGACTATGTCATCCAACATAAAAGAGTTGAAGACCCTTCTGAACCAGATGTCTACACAGGTAGGAAATCCAAATGACTGCCCAGCTAAAGTTTATACTTTACTTGGATGAATAATATAATGTAATGTTTTGTCTCAACTTTGGAGAGGCCACAAAGAGTACAAAGAGATCACTTTATACATTTTATATTTCACCTGTTTTAGAGGCTTAATATCTGCAACTTTAAGGTATTGTTTTATGTATTACAGAGATATGAATACATTTATGTAAAAACTCTCACATTTCATAAAGACATACAGTAAGTGTTTACAAACTCATGAAATTTAACATTTTTGCATTTGTGTCGATCAAGACTCATCGCTTTGCTCCTTCAATAGAGTCCAGCTCCACTGATCCCAGATTTGGTACACCCTCTCTTCTATTTCCAAATCAATCACTGGAAATTAACACATCCTTAGAAGAATTAGGGTTGTTGCAACCCCAAGAAATGAGAAGTTGGGTCTGATCTGATGTCTCTGTCTGTCTTCTTTCTTTCTTTTTTCAGTCTGCTGTTAGGTTGTAATGCTAGTGGATTGTGGTCAGCTGTGAATCCAAGCAGCATTGATAACAATTCTCAACTTTGTGTTGAAGGTCTTGATATGGGTTGTTTGGCAAGCGTCATGAATTGGTCTTTAGTTTGATGTCCACTGTGCAGGCAATGTGCAATAAATAGTCATTTATTTTATTTTATTTTTTTATGTAAATCATTGGTTAGGTTTCTGGGCCTGGCTATGTTTCCTACAGCCCTCTTTTTTGTATATTTTGGTTAGCTATAAACCTTTTTTTCTTGTTTCTCATTTAAAATGGTAGCCTGGCTAAAGCTATATACCTTATCCCTCTAGTGGAGTTAGTTAGTTTGTACTGTGCGTGACATTCCTTAAGTTCCCACAAACATATGCTTAAGTTTGTGTGTAAATAGTTTCATTGGATTAGCCTATGGCATTGGGTAGATTATACCTCTGGGCTTTACGTCAAAGAGCCTATAACTCAATAAAGATTCAGGAGGAAAAAACACATGGCGAACTATTAATGCCTAAAGAATTTTCTAATGTCAAATGTCAGAGAGGCTGCATCAAAACATGTACTAGTTACAATAGGGAGGGCTTTTCTCCCTTATCTTAATGTGTCATTGGTAATTGAAATACAGTAGAACCCTGGTTTTATCAAATGTGTCACAGAGTCAAGCAAAAGTACAGCCTAAAGGCCACAGTAATCAACAATGTCATCACCCAAACTATGGTATTAAATGATCTGTAATGTTCAAATGAAAATGAGTAAAATGAGTAATTACATTCTTAAATTAAAGCCACAGTATGGAACTTTGTAGATATATAACTTTTTCTTTTTTTTTTTGGTTTCATTTTGGTTGTATTTATTACACTGAAAAACAGATGAAAACATGTTCCCTTTCTCTGAGCAGGATTCTATCTCCACAAACCTGACTCTGACTCTGGTGTGGGGGCCTCCTCCTTCTTGTATCCATGTTAACGTTGTTCCTTTGATTATAATCATCCACAGTATGGCATAAAATGCATCTATCTTCATGGAGATTGCTCCAAAGAATAGTTTTAACTTTGGGACTACAGATGGAAATTAGCCTTTGGCTATCATCTGCTGTGTTCACATTCATGTTGTATGATTGCTTTTCCTTAATATGCACTGTCCCAATCAAATAAATAAACAAACTAATTCAGTCCTGCAGGTAATGTGCCATCTCCAGAAAGTTATATGCATACATTACACTACTGAAAAATCTAAATTTGCCATGCACCTGTAGCATCATCATTCTCAAAAGATGAAACTGTTCAACTGTTCATGAAACTTCTGACTGTTTATTTTCACTTCATCATAAGGTATCATGTTATATTTAGACATTTTATTTTAGATGGCAGACTGAAAAGAGGAAACTATGTTAGCAGGAGACAGTGATAATTGTGGTGAAATGAGATGGTGTGGAAGATGCTGGCTTCTGGAGCTTTAGTAATTGGGTGGAGTGGACAGGCCATTCATCAGGACTGGGAGGCTGCTGATGAAGCCTGGTCAGCGAAGGGGAGAAAGGGGAGAGAGGGCAGAGACGGCAAGCGTTGGCCATGTTGGCAGAGGTGAGGGAGGAAGGGGCAGATGGTTTGGGTGACTCACACTGCTATGTGCCAGTCACTACTATTAATCATGCCATTCCAGACTATAGAGATTAGAATGGCACATCTATTATTATCCAGTATTTCTTGGGATTGTCAGTGAAGAAGTACTTAACTTCTATAGGCAAAGATTTTTAGCAAAAATAATATTTGTTTAAATGATCAATGAATAATATAGCGTAAATACTTTGAAATGCTAGTGTTCCATTGCTTAAGTATCAAAAGAAATCCTAATTTAAAATTAGCTTTAATATGTGTTTGTTAAACTTTTATTGTTGTACACCATGCAGTACTACTACTGTTGTCTAAACTGCACAGTCCAAGCGTTTAACAATAATTTTTATATTTTTTACATTTTATTGTTAAAGTTAATCAGATACATTTATTACAAATCTTAGTCTCTGGCCATTCTAATAGTGTTATAGAAATGTTTTCTTAAATTGTGTCATTGACTACTACTGCAGCAATGCATCTGAGCCTTTACAGCTTCCCAAAACCCACGTTGTTCCCAAAAGAGTGAATTAAGATTGCTGATACAAACTTGGAAGTGATTGTTGGACTAGATTTATGAAATAATTGAGCCCTCTTAAAATAATGAGATCGTGTTCCACAGACTCAGCACGTTAAAGGGCAGCAGGGTTCTGAAGCATCATGTTCTCACACTTAGCCCCACTTCTTTAGAACTGACAGGATTTATAGGCTCTTTACACACCACTGACTACTGACTTATTTAAAGGTCATCTAATGCACTTTTGAGGAAAGACAAATTATGTTTTATAGTGTTGGACCAAAGCTAAATTTGGTTTAGTATAACCACAGAGTAACAGCAGTGCCAACTCCCAAACAGTTTCTCTCACACTATTACATTGAGTAATTGTCTTGTGACTTTTATTTAGTTGTGATGGCATTTGGCAAATATTTTTTGCAGGTAGCCCTGGGGCTATTTTACTGGAAAACAAGTGCTTCTGTCAAAATGTTCACAGCTCACATTTTCCAAGACTGTGGTGACGCTCTGAAGTTTGCAGTCAAGCAGCCCTCCACTGTCATCATTCAAAAGGTGGGCATACACCAGAGGATTATTTGGCTGTTTTACAATACGCCAATCCAGGTAATTGTTGGCAAGGGCCTAATGCAAAATGGTCATAGAGCATAGTTTGCAATATTTGTCATATGTAGTCTTTTTTATATGCACCACGCACATGTCCCTGTCCATCTTGATACAGGTAAAAAAAGCACACAGGTTGGTGGCATGTTAGTCTTTAGGATACTCAAAGTATTTTTTGTTTGTTTGTTTTAATTTATCCATGTTTTAGTAACCTTTTGTTGTCCTTCATTTGAGGCTTCCGTGCTCAGAAACTTTTAATACAGACTCAGACGATTCATACCCAAATGTTCAAAAATGTTGGGTAGTCATTTTTCATAATGAATGCATTGTCTCAAATATTATTTTTAGCTGCATTTACTTCTACTTGAGTACCACCACTTTGAAGCAGTTTGTTCTTCCTTAGCAGAGTTTCAGCAATGCCTTTGCTCCAGCTTCCACTATTATAAAGACCTTATCGCTTTAGGAGAGCAATGTGTTTTTCTAGTATCTAAGTAACATTTCTTTCAATGTAATTTGTCTTTGGGCTGACTCAGATGATGTCATATGCCATCTCTTTGGCTTCGAGTTTTCATCCATTCCACTTCCCTGAATGGGTGCAATCATACAGATGAGGATCACTGCAGCAGTGAAAGAGCTCCTTCTCTTTATCTGATATCTGCAAATGTTACAAATCTATCTTTTTCCATTTGAGTAAACACGGGATGTGAATTTAGGCTTTTTCTCATTAATTGGAAGGTACATTTGTGACCTCAGTTTCAGGGGAAGAGTCAAATCAGTACATGGTATGGTATTACTGATCAAAAATGTTCTACATCTGCACTGTACTTTGTGTGACAAAGAAAAATTGAGAACTTCCTTTATTATTTTTGTTTTGTGTGTGTGAAGGTTGGTGTTCTTGTGTCAAACTCCCCCGTTCCTTTCACATCTGGACAAGTCATCAGTAACAGGGCTCAACAGGCAGAAAAACATTAAATGTCCATACCCTACTAAATATTACTTTATTCTAACATTAGACTAGGGAATTGGTTTCGCCATCATTCAGCTCCTCCAAAGGGGCATTTTATGAATATTGTTGACATATAGAATACAGAATAGTATAATCTTAAGATCCTAATTGGAATATGTTGTTTTAATCATGCAGTTTGAGCTGCTACTTTGGTTTAATTTTTTCTTTTTTTTATAATGTGATTTTGAGAGTAACAATGATGAAATGGTCTGTTATCAACAACATGCTAGGGTTATATGTGCGTATGCCAGGTCAGGATGAAAGGAGAGGAAAGGCAACTGGGTTAAAATTTAAATCAAATGTCATTATGGCAAAGGAGAAATTTGATTTGTTAACTGAACAAAGTTCATTTTGGTCGAAAACGTTTAACAGCTCATCCAAGTTGCTTCTTCAGTTCTGGTTAGACGCTGGTGGATACTGCCTCATATCAGCCTGAAGGGAGGAGCTACCTACACTGAAATTACGCTGAAACAAACATACCTACTTGTTTCCAGTTTCAGTTTGTTAACTAGGCCTATTCAACTGCACTGAGTATGAGGTCATATTAGCGTAATCATTCAGGCCCATAATGGGTGCTTTGACATCTCTGGACCTGATCTAGCTAACCCTGTTGTTTTCTTTGTTTTAGGTCTGAGGATGGAGGCTAAAACCCCTCAGGTAGAATCCATGGCAGAAGGAGAAATTCCGTTTGTCAATTGGACAAAAAGTTAATTTTGGTCGAATACGTTTCACAGCTATTCACTTCAGACAGATATGAGGCAGTGTCCATCAG